TGTGCTTTCATCATCTAGGCTCATTGTTCAGAATGGTATCTAAAGCTCTTCTCAGACATGTTCCTAAACTTCTCTTTCATTTTCGTGTTATTCATTCTACTATGTAAACATAATACTGTCATATTAAGTTTCCTCTTCTTCCAAATACACTTCCAAACCTTTGACCTTTTATCCATAGTATTCCCCCTGCTTAGATAGCTCTCCCCACACCTTTCCTTTCCTTTCCTTTCCTTTCCTTTCCTTTCCTTTCCTTTCCTTTTCTTTTCTTTTCTTTTCTTTTCTTTTCTTTTCTTTTCTTTTCTTTTGACAGAGTCTACCTTCGTTGTCTGGGCTTAGAGTAGAGTGCAGTGGCATCATCATAGCTCACTGAAACCTCAAACTTCTGAGTTCAACCGATTCTCCTGCTTCAGCCTCCCAAGTAATGAGACTACAGGTGTGCACCACCACCCCTGGCTAATTTTCCTATTTTTTGTAGAGATGGGATCTCGCTCTTGCTCAGGCTGATCTCGAACTCCTGGCCTCAAGCAATCCTACTACCTCGGCCTCCCAAAGTGCTAGGATTACAGGTGCGGATGACCATGCCAGGCCACCCCTTTTCTTCAGCCTTCAAATTTCACCCTTAGACAGTCTGCCCTAACCTACAGCTCTCCCCACTTTTGCATTTTGCCCCATTAGAACTTCTTTCATAGACTACTATGATAGCAATTATTATATTCTGTTGTAATTCTTTATTAATAGGACAGTTTTACTAGCTAAAATGAGAGCCTTACTAAATCAGGGATCATATTTTATTTATTGCATGAAGTAGGTATGTACCAATCATTTGTTATATTAGTTTATCTGTTATATTAGTTTATCTGTCATGATAGTGGTAGGGGGTTATGGTCTTGGGGGTAGGTGGAAAGGGTGGTTAAATTAGAAATAGGGTAAGAAGAAGGTGGTAGACACAAAACAGGTTCCAAGTAGAATAAAACTTTATTTGGGAATTGAGAAGATAGGTGTTAGCCCAGATTGAGAGATGACTTTCCAAGGAAACATTTCCTATAAAAGGGGAGGGAATCCCATCACACTCAAACATTATATGCTTTAACATAAAAGCCAAAGTGGCTTTTTTTTTTTTTAGACAGGGCCTCACTCTGTTGCCCAGGCTAGAGTGCTGTGACATCAGCCTAGCTCACAGTAACTTCAAACTCCTGAGCTCGAGTGATCCTTCTGCCTCAGCCTTCCGAGTAGCTGGGACTACAGCCATGCACCACCATGCCTGGTTAATTTTTTCTATATATGTTTTTAGTTGGCCAATTAATTTCTTAATTTCTTTCTACTTTTAGTAGAGATAGGGATCTTGCTCTTGCTCAGGCTGGTTTCGAACTTCTGACCTTGAGCAATCCTCCTGCCTCGGCCTCCCAGAGTGCTAGGATTGATTACAGGCATGAGCCACCGCGCCCCGCCCAAAGTGGCATTTTTAATATATCTCTCTCGGCCTTTTGTAGATTTTTGCAGCTACCGTTTACTGCATGCTGTAGGGCATTACTATTTCGGTAGTTTTCTTTTAAGAGGTTCCTTTTGCTAGTTGATTGTTGCTTCAGGTACTTATCCTACTGTACTTTGTGAGAATGCCTTTAAGACTGATCTGTTGTACATAATTAGTTATTAGTAGAAATAGTTCTATTGCAAACAGTCCTTACTAATAATTCTCAAAGCATGCCAAATGCTAGTGACTTCAGCTGGCTTACAAATAAGCAGTTCTGCTGGGCACAGTGGCTTGCACCGGTAATCCTAGCACTCTGGGAGGCTGTGGAGGCAGAATGGCTTGAACCCAGGAGTTTGAGTTGCAGTGAGCTATGATGATGCCATTCCACTCCACCCAGGGTGATAGAGCAAGACTGTCTCAAAAAGAAAAAAAAAATACTGCAAGGAAATACACCAAGATGTTAACAGTAGTTTTCTCTGGATGGTGGAATTATAGCTAACTTGAACTTTTTCTCTTTAAGTATGATATTCAGATTCCTCCAATATACCTGTATTATTGTTTAAATATATAAACAATTAATAGTGAGATTTCTTAAATAATAGATAATTTTTAAAGGATTCATAGAGGCTCTTTTTTTCTCTTGAGAAATAAACTTTCTTTTCTAATTATCTTTTATTTCCTTCTCTTTTAGTTTTATTAAGATATATTTCACATACCATAAAATTCACCCATTTAGAGTGTGTGCAGCTCAGTGGTTTTTAGTAAATTCAAAAAGTTAAGAAATCATCATCACCATCTTAATTTTAGAACTTTTATTTATTTATTTTTTTGAGATAGAGTCTTGCTTTGTTGCCCAGGCTAGAGTGAGTGCCATGGTGTCAGCCTAGCTCACAGCAACCTCAAACTCCTGGGCTCAAGCAATCCTGCTGCCTCAGCCTCCTGAGTAGCTGGGACTACAGGCATGTGCCACCATGCCTGGCTAATTTTTTCTATATATATTAGTTGGCCAATTGATTTCTTTCTATTTATAGTAGAGACGGTCTCGCTCTTGCTCAGGCTGGTTTCGAACTCCTGACCTTGAGCAATCCACCCGCCTTGGCCTCCCAGAGTGCTAGGATTACTGGCGTAAGCCACCATGCCCAGCCAATTTTAGAACTTTTAAACACCCTGAAAAGACTTAATTCCTTTTAATTCTATTTATATATTTTAGTAGTGTGAACTCTTTTATAAATCCTATGATATTTTCCATGTGAACTTAGTACTGTCAGTTTGAAAGGCATGTAAGATGAGTCTGAATTTGGTAGCTAATAAAAAAAAAAAAAAAAAGAAAGGCATGTAAGACATAGTCCTTGACTTCACAGAGCTGTTAAATTAATAGGGAAGAGAAGGACATATAAATATACTAAAAATGAGACAGTTGGTTCAAGTGTCATGCCAGTGATATAGACCAAATATTACCTGTGCAATTGAGAATCAGCTCTATTATGAATAATGAAGGCCAGGAGCAGTGGCTCATGCTTATAATCCTAGCACCCTGGGAGGCCGAGACTGGAGGCTCAGTTGAGGTCAGGAGTTCAAGATCAGCCTGAGCAAGAGCAAGACCCTGTCTCTATAAAAAGTAGAAAATTTAGCCAAGTGCAGTGTCCCAGCTATTCGGGAGGCTGAGGCAGGAGGAGCATTTGAGCCCAGGAGTTAGTTTGAAGTTGCAATGGCTATGATGACCCCACTGTACTCTAGCCAGAGCGACACAGCAGGATCCTGTCTCAAAAAAAAAAAGAGAGAGAAAAAAAAGTTACAAGGAGTAGTTTGTTTTCTATACGGTTATAATCTAATGCAGATCCCTCACTCTCATACTAGCCTCTGTAACTCTTTCATTCTCTCATTTTACCATTTAAACATTTGTAGTACTATAGTAAATCATTACTCAGAATAGTGGGGATTTAACTGATTTCCAGAGTTTAAGTAGCTGTCTTCCAAAAGAGCTATTTTGTTACATACAATATAGTAAGAAATAAGTTTTCAAAATATATCATCCTAGAAAATATTTTTAATATAAATATATTAAGTCATAATTTTGTACAGATTGAAAAATATTTGGGTTTACCTGAAAATGGGGGAAATACATTATTTCAGAGCCTAAATATTTAGTAATATAAATGAAGAATTTTTATTTATCAGTTCTCATACCAGAAATTCCATAAAGCATATTCACTTCCTTAAGGATGGTGACAAAAATCCTGACGCAATTAAAAATATGTTCATGACACTTTTATTTACCAATAACTTCATGTTGATCTGCAAATGGTGAGGCGTGGCAGAATCTCTTATGGAAATAAGATATTTTTCTTTAACAGAAACCGAAAGCCGGGCGCGGTGGCTCAGGCCTGTAATCCTAGCACTCTGGGAGGCTGAGGCGGGCGGATTGCTCGAGGTCAGGAGTTCGAAACCAGCCTGAGCAAGAGCAAGACCCCGTCTCTACTATAAATACAAAGAAATTAATTGGCAACTAATATATATAGAAATTAGCCGGCATGGGTGGCGCATGCCTGTAGTCCCAGCTACTCGGGAGGCTGAGGCAGAAGGATTGCTTGAGCCCAGGAGTTTGAGGTTGCTGTGAGCTAGGCTGACGCCACGGCACTCATTCTAGCCTAGGCAACAAAGCGAGACTCTGTCTCAAAAAAAAAAAAAAAAAGAAACCGAAGAGATTCTAATAGCTCTTTGGAAAAAAGCCATGAGGGTCATCTGCTCAATTTTTGTTATGCCTTTTATTTTAAGATTTCACTTTCAGCCTGTAATAACTGTAGTATCTTCCCAGTCATGATCTTTTTTCTGTTATTTTGAAACTTTTATAATATAAAAAAGTCTCTGGCAGAGTCATTTTTGAGCCATGTGTGACAATCTGCAAAGATAGGTTACATCACTTTCACCATATGGCCCACAAAGCAGAAAGTCATTCTTTACTTTTTATGGTATCTAATTTCTAAAATAGGTGGTAATCTCTAAAAAGCCTTTGAAATCTTTACCATTGTTGGAAGTATTGTGGCTACATCCCAGAAAAATTACCTTCTATGAATATAAATACAGACTAAGATCATATGGACTGTAATGTTTCCTACAAGTGACTTAAATGACCTAATTCCCTCTTTTTGATTGCTTTTGAAATAGAAAATGCTTTTGACATAGTTTTTAGGACACATGTCCTAAAAAACATATAGAGTTATCCCTTGAGTATGTCAAGGAATACCTGCATATAAGGAAGGTGCTACTTGGGTTGATTTTCTAGAATAGGAATAGATTTGTGAGCTCCAGCTGTGTGTTCTTGTAGCTCTCCTTTTGACTACTGTACTTCTAGAGCTGCTGACTTCAACTATGAAACAGAATTAACCTGACTCAGAGTGATAGAATCTTAGTAAAGTGATGCCCTGAGTCTGGAAACCCACATTACAATTTTATCTTTTTTAATTCTGAAAATAGTAATTTCATCTATTTTATTTCTCTATAAATAATTTAAATTATATTTTTTGTTTAGATTGTCTTACAAGGACATGCAACAAGAGTAACTGCTAAATCTCAACAAAGTGGCGAGAAAGCATTTCGATGTGAATATGATGGATGTGGAAAATTATATACAACAGCTCATCATCTTAAGGTATATATAAAAGAAATGCTGTATCTAGTTATAATACCTAGGACATTAAATACTAATGTGATATACTTGTATCATTCAAACACTACTGTTTTCTCCCACTTATCAATATACTGACATCCATATACAGACATATAGAAGCCTATGCAGACTTTAGAAACTGTCAATTTTTTGAGGGCTTGAACTGTGTTTTTTCATCTCTGTATTCCTAATGTCTAGCATACTGCCTGGCACATGATAGATACTCTATATATTTGAATAGTCTTTCAAATATTTGGGCCACTGAGGTGGGAGGATCACTTGAGGCCAGGAGTTTGAGATCAGCCTGAGCAAGAGCGAGACCCTGTCTCTACAAAAACTAGAAAAATTATCTGGGCGTGGTGGTGCGAGCCTGTCATCTCTACTTTGGAGGCTGAGGCAGGAAGATCACTAGAGCCCCGGGCTTTGAGGTTGCATTGAGCTATGATGATGCCACTGCACTCTAGCCTAGTTGACAGTGAGATCCTGTCTCCAAAAAAAAAAATATGGGGGCCAAATATTTTTATTTATTTATTTTAAGACAGAGTCTCACTCTGTTGCCCTGAGTAGAGTGCCATGGTGTCAGCCTAACTCACAACAACCTCAAACTCCTGGGCTTAAGTGATCCTCCTCCCTCTGCCTCTTGGAGTGCTAGGATTACAGATGTGAGCCACCTGGCCCAACCCAAGTATTTGAATAACTTACAATATGTCAGAAAGTATGTACTTAGCATATTGGGGTAGTGGCCCTAGACCTCATCTCTACTATTTATCAATGTATAATCTTGGCATGTTAGTTGACCTCTTAGTACCTCATTTTCCTCATCTATAAAATTGGATCGTAAAAATACCTCCCTCACAAAGTGGTGAGAATTAAATAAGTTGATACCGTATCTGTAAAGTGCTGAAAAATAGTAGTCTACTGTGTGGTAAAGCTTCAGAAAATGTTGGCTATTGTCAGGATCACTCATTTGTTGCAGCAACGCAGTAGATACAGCTATGTCCCCACTCTATAGAGAGGACTTTGGGACTTAGAGAAGGCTAGTGCCTGTGGCAATACCACTAGGCAGTGGCGGAGTCTTGCATCAGATCTAGGCTCCTCTCGCAGCAGCCTCCACACTCTTTTTTTATTTTTTGTGACAGAGTCTCGCTTTGTTGCCCAGGCTAGAGTGAGTGCCTTTGTGTCAGACTAGCTCACAGCAACCTCAAACTCCTGGGCTCAAGCGATCCTTCTGCCTCAGCCTCCCGAGTAGCTGGGACTACAGGCATGTGCCACCATGCCCGGCTAATTTTTTCTATATATATTATTTGGACAATTAATTTCTTTCTATTTATAGTAGAGACGGGGTCTCACTCTTGTTCAGGCTGGTTTCGAATTCCTGACCTCGAGCAATCCGCCCGCCTCGGCCTACCAGAGTGCTAGGATTACAGGCGTGAGCCACCGCGCCCGGCCCGCCTCCACACTCTTAACCTTATATTGCGTAGCCTCTCCCTATGCTCTGCCCCTACTTCTTCTCATCATGTGTATGTTTTCATGCAAACAAACATGGGCCACTTTGACCATTCTAGAAAAACTCAAACGTCAAATGTTCCTATTCCTTGTTTAAAATAAGTACTTCTTAATATTTAGAATACTGAGAATTATTGGGTTATAATTTTTGTGAAGTTATCTGTTGTTTTTTTAAAAAGTATACAACACAATCATTCAGCAGTGAGGGGAAAAAATAGGTCTATGTTGAGACCGTCTACCTGAGGTTTACATAAAGGAAGTAGAATCATGCCTGCGTTTTAATAACAGGTCCATGAGAGGTCACACACAGGAGACCGGCCTTACCAGTGTGAGCACCAAGGCTGTGGGAAAGCATTTGCAACAGGTAAAAACAAATTTTCTTTGTTCTGATTAGGGGTCAAGCAGAGATGGGCCGGGGCAGGAACTGACCCCTAACCTTTGTTAGGGGTCAGTGAATCTGCACAAGTACATGACCAGTTTTTCAGTCTCTCTCTTAGCAGCCTCTTGTCCTGCTTGCTCTACACCCCTCTCTCTGTTCTCATTTTTCTCCACAGACTTGTCTCTGCCTTCTGTGTTCAATACTTTTCATTCCATACTCTGTTTCTTTTAGCAGGAAAATAAAAGCCAAACTTTAAAAGCTGACATAGAATTTAACATTAGGACAGATCTCAGGGAACCATGGAGACCTAGAATTTAGCAGTGGATAGAACCTCTCCAGGGACACATTCAGCAGGGCCAGGATTGGTACCAGGCCTCCTGACTTCCATTCCTTATTCTATGTCTTGATTCCACTTCGAGCTTTTGGCATATGAGTTGTAAATAACATCTAATAAAATCGGGGCACTTTAAAAAAAGAAACACACAACCTCTTCCAGACAGAGATAAAACTATTAAATTTTCAGTGTCACAGTCCTGAGCTGTCTGTGCTCTTACATTTTAAATAGTTATTCTGTTGTATTAGCCTAGTATTTTATCCTTGGCATTTAGTATATTTTTCAATAGCTTAATCTCAATGTGCATGTTTAGAGGAATATTGTATAATTAAATTTCTTTTTAAATTTTTCTTAAAGGTTATGGATTAAAAAGTCATGTCAGAACTCATACAGGAGAAAAGCCATATCGATGTTCAGAAGATAATTGTAGTAAATCTTTCAAAACTTCAGGAGATCTACAGAAACATATCAGAACTCATACAGGTACGAGTATAAACAGAATGTCTTATTTAGGCCAGGAATTCTTAACCTGCAGGGCGGGAACTCAGTGAAGGATTCATAAACTCCTAAAATTCCCTACAATTTGCTGTTTGTGCATGTCTGTTTCTTCCCAGGATGTGGGCCCTAACTCTGTTAGATTCTCAAAAGGATCCCTATTTAAAAAAAGATTAAAATGGCCTTCCACGACCACAAGCCCTTTCAGTTTCCAGGAATTGTCTGAGCAACAAATTTATTTACCTTGGATTCACAACTAATCAATAGCCAAACTGAGACCAGAACCTAAGGCACCCAATTCTTTCTAGGTTTAGTATAGCTTCTCCTGCATTAAGCTGCTGCTAAAGAAAGTGTCTGAACCACTAACAGCCTCACAGAATGAAAGACTTTTATTTCCTTGTGATCATTTCTCCTCCCCTATACATTCCCTTATCTCCTTTTGCTACAGGATACTTTATTCTTATCTCCTTTTCATTCTCTTCTCCTACTTATACTTGATTGCTTGTGGCATTCGTATTATAAAGGTAATTATTTGCTTTTAATCAGTGCTGGAAAAAGTTCAGAAACTGTTGATAAGAGATTATAAGCTATTGACCATTATAAGCTATTGACTAAATAATAAAGCATAAGATAATTCCGTTTGGGAATTTATTATACTACAGATGTTTTAAACATGATGTGATAATTATGTCACCGAATGTTGTAATTTCTGTACTTCTAAATATTCTACAATAGTTTAGCAAATTTTCATGTAGGATTTTTCTAGCCCTTAAGGTTTAACCTTTAGCTCAAATATGACCCCAAATTGGCTTTACTTTACAATGTTCAGGAACAGAACAGTAAGTCTCTGCTTCTGTCTCATTCATATAGTTATTTTTATTTATTGTACTAGATGAAAGTATTCCTAAGCTCCTGCAAATTCTATTTACATTTGCAATATAACCCAACTTGTTATATAAAAACTATATAGGCCGGCGCAGTGGCTCACCCTGTAATCCTAGCACTCTGGGAGGCCGAGGCAGGCGGATTGCTCGAGGTCAGGAGTTTGAAACCAGCCTGAGCAAGAGTGAGACCCCGTCTCTACTATAAATAGAAAGAAATTAATTGGCCAACTGATATATATATAAAAAAAAAAAAATTAACCGGGCATGGTGGCACATGCCTGTAGTCCCAGCTACGTGGGAGGCTGAGGCAGGAGGATTGCTTGAGCCCAGGAGTTTGAGGTTGCTGTGAGCTAGTCTGACGCCACGGCACTCACTCTAGCCTGGGCAACAAAGTGAGACTCTGCCTCAAAAAAACAAAAACAAAAAAAATTATATAAAACCAATAATCTAGTTCCATTAATATTGATCAAAAATATCAGAATTGTGATTCCTTTGATAGTATTCATTTTTTAAAATCATGATATTTTCATTGGTTGATGAAATTCAATGTTGGGTTGAATAAAGGGCTTAGGAACTTATAGTATAAATACAGATGACTTCAGTGCAGAAACAAAGCAGGGTGTTGCAGAATCAGAGTAGTAGTATATATAGTACAACAAAAATTGTTCTAAAATAGTTGATTACTTATCATAGCATGTCAGAGCTGGGAAGACTTTAAAGGTCATCTAGATACATAGAAGAGAAAAGATTTGCCCAAGATAAACTCCTTGTTCTCCTTAAGCTGACATAGTAAATAAAACTTTCATGAAAGACAGGATCAAAGATTCCTGTTCCTTTTTAAATGTTTTCATACTTGAGGATAGAAATCTTTTGGAATGGTTTTCATCAACAGGGATATTGTAATTTCATTTGACGAAAAGAAAAATAACAAACTTACTATATATGTAGATAAATATCTATATCTATCGACACATACATATATAGAGAGGAATTTTTTTTTCTGCCCAGAATATTGTTTGCTTAATATGAGGTCATTCTAGAAAAGGATACATGGGAATCAAAAGCAAAGACTACTTCCTGCTTTACGGTTTAAAGGACTTTTGTGTTCCAAAGTTGTATAAGGCAAATATGAATGCAAGGAAAATAATTGGCAGAGTAGACTTTTCAAATGTTTAGATTACAAGAATAGTAGTATGTTCAGCAAGTATTTATAATGCACATTATGTGGTAGGCACTAGATATTTATTTACTTATTGATTGATTGATTGATTGATTGATTAAGACAGAGTCTAACTTTGTTGCCTGGGCTAGAGTGCCGTGGTGTCAGCCTGGCTTACAGCAGCCTCAAACTCCTGGGCTCAAGCAATCCTTCTGCCTCAGCCTCGAGTTACTGGGTACATGGCATGCGCCACATGCCAGCTAATTTTTTCTATATATTTTTAGTTGGCCAATTATTTTCTTTCTATTTTTAGTAGAGATGGGGTTTCACTCTTGCTCAGGCTGATTTCGAACTCCTGCCTTTGAGCAATCCTCCTGCCTCAGCCTCCCGGAGTGCTAGGATTACAGGCGTGAGCCACCATGCTCAGCCTAGATTTTTAAAAAACCAAAAATCAGGCCGGGCGCGGTGGCTCACGCCTGTAATCCTAGCACTCTGGGAGGCCAAGGCGGGCGAATTATCCGCTCGAGGTCAGGAGTTCAAAACCAGCCTGAGCAAGACCCCGTCTCTACTAAAAATAGAAGAAATTAATTGGACAACTAAAATATATATACAAAAAATTAGCCGGGCATGGTGGCACGTGCCTGTAGTCCCAGCTACTTGGGAGGCTGAGACAGGAGGATCGCCTGAGCCCAGGATTGAGGTTGCTGTGAGCTAGGCTGATGCCATGGCACTCACTCTAGCCTGGGCGACAAAGTGAGACTCTGTCTCAAAAAAAAAAAAAAAAAAATTATTTTCTTTCAAGGTATTATAGCATAAATGAAGTAGGAGATAACCTTTTAGGGTATTCAGTTAGGGGCTCTTCTGACTCAATCCTTATTCTTGACTCTATTTTTCTTTTATATTTCTTTCTCTGCTTTTCTCTACTCATTTTTTAATGTGCCCACTTGAATGATTCCATCTTGGAGTGTCATGTAATCAGTGATGAGTTTTGAATACCATTCTGGGTTTCTTAGGTAAATTTAAATTTGAAGTGGAAGGTGCTGTTTTCAGAAAAAAAGAAATGCCTGCAGGGGAAGCTCAACACAAAAAGACTAGAGTCTTGAGCATGATCCCAGGCAGTATTAAAGGATAAGACATTTCAATTGTCTTTATATTTTTGCAACATTTAATTTGTTTACCCTTTGTATTTTCAGGAGAAAGGCCCTTTAAGTGTCCCTTCGAAGGCTGCGGTCGGTCCTTTACAACATCAAATATCAGAAAAGTGCATGTTAGGACACACACAGGAGAAAGACCTTATTACTGCACAGAGCCAGGATGTGGGAGGGCATTTGCCAGTGCAACCAATTATAAAAACCACGTGAGGATACATACAGGTAACAGTCTCTGATCTCTTGGTCTTTTATCTTTTGAAACTCAGTTTAATTCCTGCCTCTTCCAGAAACTATTTCCATTAATTTCTTCCCTCCTCCTACCACTTGGCATAGTGGAAAGAGACTAAGCAAATTTGAAAAGTTCACTTTAGCATTCATATATTCACATATTCAACAAACAGTTATTGAGCATCTATTGTGTGTTCTCCTGCCAGGCATCAGAGGTAGACAGGTAAGACATTGTCTGGGGCAGTCTACTTGAGGAAGGATAGTAGACATAGAGTTGCTGTAGTGTCTCCCATTATATGAACAGTATGCTGTGAAAGCAGAGAGGGAAGCAGTCATTTCTATGGGAATGGAAGAACCATTCTAAGAATGCTTTCCAGGGCAAATTTGACCTATAGACTGAATCTTAAAGTTTGCCAGGTAGAGGGAAGGATATTTCTGGCAAGGGAAATGTCTTGGGTAAAGGCACAAAAGTATGAAAAAAGATGATACTGGTGGTGGTTCCATGTGACTTGAGAGCATAGAGTACATGTAGAAGATTTGTACAAGGTGAGGTCAGAGAAGTAGTCAGAGGCCTTGTATGTTATGCTGTAATGCATTGTAAGGGTGGTTCTTAATCTGGACTTTTTGGAGTTTGTACGCAGAGTGGGTGGGGTGGTCTGTGGATAGTCTCTTTTGGTAAACAGCTTTATCAAGCTATTATTCACCTACTATATAATTCATCCATTTAAAGTATATGAGGCCAGGTGTGTTGGCTCACGCCTGTAATCCTAGCACTTTGGGAGGCCAAGGTGGGAGGATTGCTTGAGCTCAGGAATTCAAGACCAGCCTGAGCAACATGGTCGGAGACCCTGTCTCTACAAAAAGATAGAAAAATTAGCCAGGCTTAGTAAGATGCACCTTTAGTTCCAGCTAGTCAGAAGGGAAGCTAAGGCAGGAGGATCGCTTGAGCCCTGGTGTTTGAGATTGCAATGCAGTGAGCTGTGGTGATGCTACTGCACTCTACCCCCTGCAACAGAGCAAGACTCTGTCTCAAAAAAAAAAAAAAAAAAAAACTCAATCCAAATCCTTTCACTTCTTAGCTGTGGTTTGGTGCCACCTAGTGGCAGTTTCTGCTCTAATCTAAATATCAATTGGGCTGATTTTCCAGGTTAAAACTGACTGCCAGGCCGGGCGCTGTGGTTCACGCCTGTAATCCTAGCTCTTGGGAGGCCGAGGCGGGCGGATTGCTCAAGGTCAGGAGTTCAAAACCAGCCTGAGCAAGAGCGAGACCCCGTCTCTACTATAAATAGAAAGAAATTAATTGGCCAACTGATATATATATATAAAAAAAAAAAATTAGCCGGGCATGGTGGCACATGCCTGTAGTCCCAGCTACGTGGGAGGCTGAGGCAGGAGGATTGCTTGAGCCCAGGAGTTTGAGGTTGCTGTGAGCTAGGCTGACGCCACGGCACTCACTCTAGCCTGGATAACAAAGCGAGACTCTGTCTCAAAAAAAAAAAAAACTGACTGCCATTTCTTTTGCCCTCACCACCACATCTTCCCCACAATCATCCACCAAAATAAGAACTTTAACCTACCTGCTTTGAGAATTGGAGCTGAGCAGAAGACAGGAAATAACCACCAATTACTTTATGTCTAAGACTTATATTGGCCAGGTTTGGTGGCTCATGCCTGTAATCCTAGCACTCTGGGAGGAGGAGTGTGAGGATCACTTGAAGTCAGGAGTTCAAGACCAGCCTCAGCAAGAGTGAGATCCCCTCTACTTAAAAAGAAATGAAAAAATTAACCAGATGTGGTGGTACATGCCTATAGTCCCAGTTACTTGGGAGGCTGAAGTAGGAGGATCGCTTAAGCCTAGGAGTTTGAGGTTGCTGTGATGTAGGCTGATGCCATGGCACTCTAGCCCAGGTGACAGATCAAGACTTTGTCTCAAAAAAAAAAAAAAAGACTTACGTTACATTAGTATGAGATTTTACTGTTCGTGGGTGGATTCACTATATTTAGAAACATATGGAAAGAGGCAGTTACCCAAGGAAGGTGTAAAATGAGAATAAACTAGGACATGCATGTATACATACTTGCATATGCACATTTTAGAAATTAGGAGTTCACACCAATAACCTCCAATTCCAGTTCACCCTACAGGGCTGCCCCCCCCATTCCATATTTGTATGCCTCTTCCACAGCAAGAGCCCTGGCTTCCAACAGTGTTAAAATATTTACTCACTTGCTCAATCTTCTAATACATCTAAAATAGTTTCAGAATCGCTTCATCCATACCACTACAATAAACAAACCTTCTAAAAAGAGTTAAAGGTGTGTTTGCAGTTCCTCCCCTTACTTTTGACACTTAGCTCAATAAATAAATTTGATTTATTTTCTCCCTTACCCCAACCTCTTAAGTCAAGTTAAAAGTATTCATTTGAACTACAGGTAGGTTGATCTGTTCCAGTTTGCTTTCAGTTTAGGTCTCCACACTACTACATGTTAGCACTGTCTAGCTATTTAATGATATTAAGTAATTATTAATTTTGTTTAAATTTGTTAAAAGAATCTATCCATTAGGTATACAATCTGATATATTTACAAATGAAATGGAATGCTATCTGGAAATGTTTCAGAATAATCCTAGGTAAGAAGGAGGAGGAAGGTATTCATTCAATCCCTGACCGCTAAATTTGACTGGCTTAAAAAAAAAAAAAGAAGGGGGAAATATAGTAAATAAAAGAGACAATATTGGCCATAAATTGATAATTGAAGCTGGGTAATTGATACATGGAGGTTTATTTCTCTATACTTGTGTATATGTTTGAAATTTGCTATAATAAAAACTTCTAAAAATGTATGTCCCTATACTATTCTCAGATTATTTCCTAGAACAAGAATTAAAATATTTACTGCCCTTTGTATCGCCTACTTGCTATTAGTGAATACTCAGTAACTTTTGATTGGATGCAAGAAGTCAGGTTAACTTAAATAGAACATGTATGTCCTTTTAGATATGTTGACATATCCAACTTTATCTAATAGACTTTTTAAGAAAATCCTTTTTTATTATCTTTATAAAACCCTTAGGATAAGCTACATTAGATATAGTAATAATTGCATTTATTATTGTCATTATTATAATATCATTAATGATATCTGGATTATCTAGTTACAGGAAACAATAAATTACAGTTTCATCAAAGTCAAGTTAACCACTTCGGTACTGCGCTCACCGGCCTCGAAACCTTGCCCACAGCTGGCACTCATGGTCCTCACGATAGTTTGTGCTGTGCATTGATGACAAATCCATTTTGCTCTTATGTGATGAGGAAAGCTTGAAAGCACTGAAAGCTTGTTTTACTTTACAGGCAGCTTTATTTGTAATGTAAATCAGAATAGGTAACATATACATATATGTTTTCATTACTTTTTTTTTTAAATGTTCACAATTTTATTTTGAAAAATGAAAAATTAGAAAAGTCATACCACAGCTGTTGGCTAAAGTCAACACTCAGCTGTGCGTGTTCATCTGTGGCTATTGACTATAGTCGACCCTCATACCGAAGTGGTTAAACTGGGCAATATCTCTATCCTCACTTTTCTCATTCCTTGAGATTAAGGGAAAAGTGTTCTTGATGCATAGGAAAGGCACGAAGGATGTAGACTAGCTCTTGAGCCAAGTCAGAACCATACATCTTGTGTGCTGCCTCGTGGTAGGATGAGGGGATTTGGCAACTATTTATTTTTAGAGGCTTTTTCCCCATTGGGGGAGGTATGGGATGATTATGCATATGTAAAAGTCGTCTTTCTTTTTTTTTGATGCTGTTCTTTACTTAGGGGAAAAGCCATATGTTTGTACAGTTCCTGGGTGTGACAAAAGGTTTACGGAATATTCCAGTTTGTACAAACATCATGTTGTCCATACTCACTCCAAACCATACAACTGTAACCACTGTGGGAAGACGTACAAGCAGATCTCCACGCTGGCCATGCACAAACGGACAGCCCACAATGACACTGAGCCCATCGAGGAGGAGCAGGAAGCCTTCTTTGAGCCTCCCCCAGGTGAAGGTTTTGTCCATTATATCTGTTTCTGAGTTTGACAGTCAATAGTTATGAACATAATTTATCATTCATAGCATTTTCTCAAATCATAATGTTACATTCATATAATCACACAAACATGTAATTTACAACTATGACAAGTGCTATCAAAGAAAAGTACTTGGTACTTTGGGATGTATAAGAAGGCAGCTTTAGTCTGGGAGTTCACAGAAGACTTTCCCAAGGAAATAATGTTTGGAGAGACCTAGAGGGTGAATAGTGGTTAACTAGGTGAAGAAGTAGGTGTTGGGGGAAGGGAAGCAGGGATCAAATGAAAGAGAAAGTTCCACATATAGGGGATGACACATGCAAAAAGCCAGGAGGTTGGAGAGAGGAAATAAATTGGAGATAGTGAAAGGAGCCTGGGCAGTATGGCAGTTCTACCTGGGAGGTGGTGAAATGAGGCTGGAAAGTGAAGCAGGGATGGCCAGCCTCTTGGGTCCATTAGGGATATTGGTTTTAATCATGTGAATAGAGAGGTGCTCCCAAATAACTCTTCACTGATTCAGGTGCCATTAGGTATGTTGTAAGAGACACAGTTATTCATTTCAATAAGAGTAAACTCTTAGAAAAAAATATTTTAAGAGAATTACATTCAACAATTTCAGTTAAATAATTTAGTATAGGTAAAACACAAAGCAAAGCATAGGTTGTCTTACCATTTGTTACATTGAGTACCTCCTAAATGAAATAAATTTGAAAATTAAAAGAAAACATCTTGGCCGGGTGTGGTGTCTCAGACCTGTAATCCTAGCACTCTGGGAGGCCCAGGCAGGAGGATTGCTCGAGGTCAGGAGTTCGAAACTAGTCTGAGCAAGGCCCCATCTCTACCAAAAATAGAAAGAAATTAATTGACCAACTAAAAATGTGTATACAAAAAATTAGTCGGGCATGGTGGTGCATGCCTGTGGTCTCAGCTACTCAGGAGGCTGAGGCAGTAGGATCGCTTGAGCCCAGGAGATTGAGGTTGCTGTGAGCTAGGCTGACGCCACGGTATTCACTCTAGCCTAGGCAACAAAGTGAGACTCTGTCTCAAAAAAAAAAAGAAGAAATGTCTTTTCTCATTTTTAATAACTGATATTAAAGCACTGAAAAACATTTAGGTGGGAAAGTTGGTTGGAGAATCAGGGAAAGAACAGATCATCTGCTCAAATGATTCCCTGTAGTCTTCATTTGTCTTTTCAGGTATTTGTCAGGTGATGTATGAAAATAACAGTTCCATCATTTCTGAGCTATTTTATTTTCTAGCCAAAACACTGTAAACTGTGCTAGGTTAGATATTAAATCCACTATGGAGATATTGGTCAAATAGTACAAAGTTTCAGTTAGGAGGAATAAATTCTGGAGAACTACTGTATAGCACTTGACTGTAGTTAATAAAAATACACTGCATACTTGAAAATTGCTAAGAGAAAGGAGGTAAATAAAAAGATATTGCAATAACTGCTGGATCCTTTCAGTTAGAAAGCAAACTTAGGCCCGGTGCCGGTGGCTCACGCCTGTAATCCTAGCACTCTGGGAGGCGGAGGCAGGCAGATTGCTCAAGGTCAGGAGTTCGAAACCAGCCTGAGCAAGAGCGAGACTCCATCTCTACTATAAATAGAAATAAATCAATTGGCCAACTAATATATATAGAAAAAATTAGCCGGGCATGGTGGCGCATGCCTGTAGTCCCAGCTACTCGAGAGGCTGAGGCAGTAGGATTGCTCGAGTCCAGGAGTTTGAGGTTGCGGTGAGTTAGGCTGATGCCATGGCACTCACTCTAGCCTGGGCAACAAAGCGAGACTCTGTCTCAAAAAAAAAAAAACTTAGTTTGTAAGACTCTTCTTTTTAAAGCTTCCTCAATCTCTTCCTTAAATGTTGATATTTCAGATTATTAGAAGTTCTTATATTTTAGAAAATACTCTATAATATAATAATATACATTTTGTTTTTGTAGGGTTTTTTTTGTTTGTTTGTTTGTTTGTTTTTTTGAGACAGAGTCTTGCTTTGTTGCCCAGGCCAGAGTGAGTGTGTGGCATCAGCCTAGCTCACAGCAACCTCAATCTCCTGGTCTCAAGCAATCCTGCTGCCTCAGCCTCCTGAGTAGCTGGGACTACAGGCATGCACCACCATGCCCTGCTAATTTTTTCTATATGTATTAGTTGGCCACTTAATTTCTTTCTATTTATAATAGAGATGGGGTCTCATTCTTGCTCAGGCTGGTTTCGAACTCCTGACCTTGAGCAATCTGCCCGCTGGTGGCTCACGAATGCGTCCCAGAGTGCTAGGATTACAGGCGTGAGCCACCGCGCCTGGCTACCTTTTGTTTTAAAAAAAGAAAAAACCTAAACTAGGATTGCTTTTCCAAGAATAGGGATGGATGTTTGTTCCTTTTCTCTCACATGATCCTCTGGGTTTTGTAACCCATTGAAATAATTGTGTATAAATAACTGAAACAGAACAAAAGGAAGTGAAGTAATGACTGTCGTGGAAATTACACCTTGATGACTATAACCATATGAGTGCAAGCACCAACCACTGACTGTGGAAAGTATTCTTAGATTAACATAGTAAGTCCTTCTTTGAAGGAGAAAATTTTTTTTGCTCTCTTTCTGGCTTCATGGGAGGTGGAAAGTGATGGAAAAAGAGAGGGATCAAGGATCTTCCTGGTTGCCAAGGATAGCAATAATGAGTGGTTGAAATTGCTGTTTACTTGCAGCTTCTTTATGAACTAAAGAAGTAGATAGGGGTTCCTGTTCTATCACTTATTAAATGATTAACCTTACCTCAGATAATGTGCCATTATATTGTCTTTACACAATGATGTCATTGTGTACTGATGACTTGTGATCAATCACTTGTGTTAAAGACTAAGTAAGTTAGTGTCACTAGGTTGTGTTTACAAACCATTCTGGCTTTATGGTTAATGTTTTTGAAGATTGTCTTATCACTTTTAACAGCTTTTTAAGTGAATGAAAGAACTTAGTGCATACTTGCCATATTTGAAGGGTTACTTGCCAGTCTTTCTTCTCCTCCCTGCCCCCAACATGCATACACAGTATCATGTAATTACTCTAACCAAGAGAATAAAAGAGGTCCAGCAAAATTAGAACACTTAAATTTGATGTGGAAAGATTTGCTTTGGTCTGCTTTGATGTGGTTTGGCTTTGCAAAAGTGGAGGTAGAGGAATTAGAAGGAAGTCCTGTAAACCATTTTCATGATTTAGAATATAATACATACACATTTTAATTTATATAATTTTCTCTTTAATACTTAAAATGTCTGTTTTCTAAACAGATGGGTTTGTTGGTCAAATAAATGATTCCTTTGTTTTAAACAGGTCAAGGTGAAGATGTTCTTAAAGGGTCCCAGATCACGTATGTCACAGGTGTAGAAGGGGACGATGTTGTGTCTACACAAGTAGCCACAGTAACCCAGTCCGGGTTGAGTCAACAAGTTACACTCATATCCCAGGATGGGACTCAGCATGTAAGTATCCACCAGAAGCCAAACAGGTTAAATAACATTTATCTAAACCTGAGCTTGAAAGGCAGGCTGGGTTCCCTTTGAGGAAAGCTTTGAATATCAGAGCACAAAGTCTGGACTTATAGCCTATAGGCAGTGGTAGATTCCTAAAAGTTTTTTCAGTAGTCTGCTAAGAGAGAACACATGCAGGGAGATTAGTAGACAGAGAATGTTTATGATGATGTGGAATCCAAATGGTGCTGTTGGTATAGGTCCAAGGTGAGGTAATAAAGGTCAGAACCACAGTGAGAATGAGGAATTGAAAAGTACTACTGGATTCATGTGAAACATGATAGGCAAACCTATACAATTTCCACGATTCTCCTTAACAGAAGAATTATTAACAGGAATCCTGAGAATTCACTCAGCTAGCTTCACAGAGTCAGTAGAATAGGTATATTGATTTCCCCCAGGAAAAGCACAGTGTAATGGTAGTTCTCTGATAGCCAAACTTGTCCTTATTTTTTTTTTTTTTTCGTTCTTGGACTTGTCCTTATTTTATAGATGCCACTAACCTAAAATAATTCAGGCTTTATTTCATTTTTTTAAGTTCTAGTTAAGGTTGTCTTAATACCTGGTGGAAACAGGCACAGTGGGGTATGCTGTGCTGCTTTACCCTCCTACACCTACCTTTTTCATGGAGAACGCCCTCCTTAAGCCATCTCTCTTAGGGCTTTACTTTCCATGATCAATCTGCCTGTTTTAATACACAGGATTAGAAAATGCAAAGCATTCCTACCATCCGTTTATCCCCTTCCTCACTTTGAAATCACAAATTTCACACACTACTCTTTGTCCACTGGCTGGCATGCAAGATTAAACATATCCACTTAAACCAGTTTTAATTCAGCATCAACCCTAGCACTGATAATTTTTTTTTTTTTGAGACAGAGTCTCACTGTGTTGATCGCATACAGAGGCCCTCTGGAGGTCATTTGATCTAATCTTCCTCCTCCCTATACAGGAGAAATTCCTGCTGCAGTAGCTCTGAATCAGCCACTACTGAGAATACCCCCTCAATTAAGCAAATTGCTTTCTTAAGAAGCAGTCTGTTCCATTGTTGGATAATTCTAGTGTTATCAGACCAGAACCTAACCCCATATCATCTCATGGCTCCTCTTTGACCATACAGAATAAGTGTAATCCTTCTTCAAGTATTCTAAAAACAATTATCTTCCCTATCCCAGTATTATATTTTCTCTAGATTTAACCTTCCCATTTCCTTTAGGAATTAGATTTCCATTACATTCCTTTAATCATTTAAATGGTAGACATTTATTGACCATCTACCCCAAGCCAGACATTTTGGTAGACTTAATGTGGGAAGTACAGTAAGGGGATATTACAGTCTAGTAGGAGAGAGACATTTGTAAAATGAATGATAATTTTTCATAATGGAGCATATATAATTGAGGGATATATAAAGTGCTTTGGCAGCCTGGAGGAGTGAATACATGATTCTTCCTAAAAGAATCTCGGAGGCCTTTGTAGAGAATGGCCATTCAGTTGGGTATTAAAGGATTTTCATGAGCTCACCATGGAGAGAGTGAAGGGGTGGGCGAAGTCATGAAACTATAAGAGAATATGACTGGGACTCTCTGGGACTGCAAATGATCAGTTGTGGCTGGAATGTCAGATGCTGATTTGAAAGTTGTGGTAGATGAGTCTGGGGAAGTTGGTAAAGGCCAATCATAAAAAGTCAGGAATGCCATGTAAGAAGTCTAAACAGGTGATAGTGAATCACTGGGGATTTAAGCAGGGAGCATAGTGAGGTTTGTTTTGTTTTGTTTTAGAAAGATGTCAACGTAGATGATGGTTAGGGAAAAGTTAGACTGGATGCCTGGAGAGAAGTTGTACTGTTGTAGAAATTCAAATGAGAGAAAAATAAGGATCTAAATTAGCAATAGGGAAGGAAGAGATCAATTAAGAAATACTATATTGATGTTTCTGATGACTGAAAGAGTTTATTCCATTATACAAGGCTTATTTGCTCCCACAGAGTAAATTTATACAAGGGTTGGCCCAGTCCTCAAGTAAGATTGCCGAATATAACAAGAATCAGTGACTGTTTTATAAAACGCACTATATTGCAGGTCAACATATCTCAAGCAGACATGCAGGCCATTGGCAACACCATCACAATGGTAACGCAGGATGGCACACCCATCACAGTCCCTGCTCATGACGCCGTCATCTCCTCAGCAGGAACACACTCTGTTGCTATGGTTACTGCCGAGGGCACAGAGGGGCAACAGGTAATTACTTTTTCTGTTATAGCAATCAATACATACATCACTGTCAAAACTGTTACATAGATGTACAGTATGGTATAGCAGTTAAGCACACAAACTTTGGATTGAATCCTATTTTTGCAACTTCTTAGCTCCTTAACCCTCAGAGTCTGTTTTTCCTCATCTATAAAGTAGATATAAAGCATTTACCCCACAAGGTTGACATAAGGATCGAATGAGATAATGCATGTAAGGTACTCAGCCAGGTATATATTAAGTGTTCAGTAATGGTAGCTATTCTTGCCATCATCATCATCATCATCAGATATTTAGGAAGTAAATCTGTTTGCAAAATTTATTTAATATTTTTAATGTCATTTGTTCACATGGTTCAAAAAAATAGGTATGCAGTTAAAAGTCTTCCTTCCACTCCTGCCTTCATCAACTCAGTTGTTACCCCCCACAGATAATCCACTTTTGTTAGTTTTTAATGTATTTTTCCAGTGACTCACTAAACATATACAAACAAATACAAATAAGTAGTTGTCTTCCCTCCTTTTTTTTGAATGGGTGAACTATACTGTTCTGCATCTTATTGTTTTTTTAAACTTAACAATACATCTCAAAGATCCTTCTATTTCATTAGAGAGCTTTCTCATTCTTTTTTAAAGCTGCATCCTATTCTACTATATGGATGTGCCATAATTTATTTAAAGTCTTTTTCTATTTCAAACAACACATAATCTTTTGCACATATGATTTTGCATGTTTGTGAGTAGATAAGTTAGATAAATCCCTAGAGTAGGATTGCTGGGTACAAAGATAAGTGCATTTGTAATTGTGACAAATGTTGCCAAACTTCCCTTCTAGGGTTGTGCCAGTCTACATTTCCACCTGCAGGGTTTGAGAGTGCCTGTTTTCCTTCAGCATAGTCACCATGGTAGTATCAAACTTTTGGATTTTTGCCAATCTGATGTATTTTTTTGTAGTTTTAATTTTTATTTCCCTTAAAGTAAATGATGTTGGTTAATATATTTAGAAACTGTTCTTGTATTGTGCTGAAAGCAAAGTTGAGTCCCAATCTTGAAAAAAGAACAAAGTTGGTGGTCTTATACACCTTGAAATACTAAGCTCAGAATCATAAAGCTTCAGAAGAAGAGAGGCAAACAGTTTTGCGACCTCAGGGTAAAGATTTCCTGGACAGTATACAAAATGCACTAACAATAAAAGAAAAAAACCTGATAAATTGGACTTAATCAAAATTAATTCTGGGCCGGGCGTGGTGGCTCACCCCTGTAATCCTAGTATTCTGGGAGGCCAAGGCGGGCGGATCGCTCAAGGTCAGGAGTTCGAAACCGGCCTGAGTGAGACCCTGTCTCTACTAAAAAAATAGAAATGAATTGGCCAACTAAAAATATATAGAAAAAATTAGCCAGGCATGGTGGCGCATGCCCTGTAGTACCAGCTACTTGGGAGGCTGAGGCAGTAGGATCGCTTGAGCCCAGGAGTTTGAGGTTGCTGTGAGCTAGGCTGACACCGTGGCACTCTAGCCCAGGCAACACAGTGAGACTCTGTCTCAAAAAAAAAAAAAAAATTAATTAATTCTGCTCACCAAAAGGCACTTTTGTTAAGAAAAAGATTAGACAACCCACAGAATAGGAAAAAGATATTCACACTATATATATCTGAAAACAGACTTGTATTGAGAATATGTAATAAACTTCTACAAATCAACAATAAAAAGATGAATCGCCCATTTTAAATGAACAAAAAATAATGTTTTAAAATGTACAAATAATTCAGTTGCTTATTCGAACAGACCTCACAAAAGAAGATATATGAATAGCCAATAACCCAATTAAGTGCTCAACATCTTTCATCATTAAGGAAATGCAAATTAAAATCAGGAGATGGCATTTCAGACCCAAGAAAATAGCTAAAATCAAAAAGACTAAAAAACACAAACTTTGGTTTCTCAGGTGAAACTTGTGAGTAAATGTTGGCAAAGATGTGAAGCCACTAGAATATTCATATACTGCTAGCTAGTAGGAGTGTAAAATGATATGAATGGCCAGTAAGCACATGAAAAGATGTTCAGTGTTGTTAACCATTAGGGAAATGCTAATCAAAACTACAGTGAAAGCCAGGCTCAGTGGCTTATGCCTGTAATCCTAGCACCCTGGGAGGCTGAGGTAAGAGGATTGCTTAAGCTCAGGAATTCGAGACCAGCCTGAGCAAGAGTGAGGAAACCCTGTCTCTACAAAAAAAATAGAAAAATTAGTCAGGCATGATGGTACGTACTTGTAGTCCCAGCTACTTGGGAGGCTGAGGTAGGAGGATCACTTGAGCCCAGGAGTTTGAAATTACAGTGAGCTATGATGATGCCACTGCACTCTACTCGGGGCAACAGAACGAGATGCTGTCTCAAAAAAGAAAATGAAAAAAGAATAATATTTTGGATATTTACTCAAATTGTTGGCATGTAATAACAGTTAATTCTTTTTTATTGCAGAGCAGTGTTCTATTCTAAGAATATACCAGGATTTGTTGATCTTTTCTCCTCTTATACATTTGAGATGCTTTCAGGTTTTGACTATTATGAATAAGATAGCAATAAAAATTCTAGGTGGCCTATGCCTGTAATCCTAGCACTCTGGGAGGCCGAGGTGGGAGGATTGCTTGAGGTCAGGAATTTGAGGTTGCTATGAGCTAGGCTGATGCCATGGCACTCTAGACTGGGAAACAGAGTTGTTTTCTCAAAAAAACAAAAGCAATAACAATGACAAAAAAATTGTAGTACAGGCCGGGCGCTGTGGCTCACGCCTGTAATCCTAGCTCTTGGGAGGCCGAGGCGGGCGGATTGCTCAAGGTCAGGAGTTCAAAACCAGCCTGAGCAAGAGCGAGACCCCGTCTCTACTATAAACAGAAAGAAATTAATTGGCCAACTGATATATATATATAAAAAAATTAGCCGGGCATAGTGGCGCATGCCTGTAGTCCCAGCTACTCGGGAGGCTGAGACAGCAGGATTGCTTGAGCCCAGGAGTTTGAGGTTGCTGTGAGCTAGGCTGACGCCACGGCACTCACTCTAGCCTGGACAACAAAGTGAGACTCTGTCTCAAAAAAAAAAAAAAAAAAAAAAAAATTGTAGTACAAATATGTTTGTAGACATATGCTCTATTTTATTTGTCTTGGATAAATAAATGTTAGTGGAATTGCTGGGTCATAGGATAGAGGCATATTTCACTTTATATGACAGTACCAACAGTTCTCCAAAGTGGTTGGGCTATCATACTCTCCCACTAGCACTGAGTAAGAATTCTGTTTGTTTCATATCATCACCAACATTTGGACTTTTTTTAGTTTATTAAATTTTAGCCATTCTGGTGGTTGTGAAATGATATATCATTGTGGTTTTAATTTACATATAAAAAACCAATACATCATTATATCACTTGGTTATGACATGTTCACCTTTTTATATATTGCTAGATTTAATTTGCTAATATATTTTTGAAAGACTATTTTTTAGAGCGGTTTTAGATTCACAGAAAAACTGAGAGGAAAGTACAGAGATTTCCCACTTACTCCCTGCTCCCACACATACATGGCCTCACGCATTATCAGCATCCCCACCAGAGAGGTTTATTTGTTACAGTTGATGAACCTACACTGACACATCATAAATTACCCAAAGTCCATAGTGTACGTCAGGGTTTACTCTTGGTGGTGTACTTTCTGTGGGTTTGGACAAATGTGTAATAACATACATCCCTTGTTAGAGTATCATATAGAATATTTTCACTGCCATAAAAATCCTCTGTGACAATTTACTAATACTTTGTTAAAGATTTTGGTGTCAATGTTCATAAGCCATATTGGTCTATAATTACTTTCAAGTTTTATCTCCTGTTTCAGTATCAGGGTTGTGCTTGCTTCATAAAACAAATTGGGAGGTATTCCCTTCTGCACTCTTTTCTGATAGTTTATGTAATATTGATATTATTTCTTTCTTAAAAATTTGATAGAATTAATCAGAGACATTGTCTAGGCCTAGATTTTCTTTTTGGTGAGGTTTGTGATTATGGATTCAAGTTTTGTAATAGATACAGTGCTATTCAAGTTATCCCTTTTTTCTTGTATCCATTTTGGTAAGTTTTGGTTTGGAAGGAGTTTATCTATTTCATCTAAGTTGTCATATTTATTGACATAAATTTGTTCATAATATTTTCTTATTACCCTTTTAATGTCTGTAGGATCTAAAATGATGTCCTTCTTCCATTCTTGATTATTTGCATTTTCTTTTTTTTTGCTTGATTATCTTTCTAGGGCTTTATGAATTGTATTACCCTTTCACACAGCACATTTTTACCTTAGTTTATCCCTTTTTTTTCCCATTTCATTTATTTATGTTCATACTTTTCATTATTTCCTTCCTTCTGTTTACTTTTGGTTTAATTTTCTCTTCTTTTTCTGTCTTCTTTAGGTGAAAACTAAAATCAATTATTTTAAACCTCCTTTTCTATATAAGCACTTAAAGCTACAAATTTCCCTCTAAGGATTGCTTTAGCTCCAATTGACAAATTTTGATATATTTTAATTTTTTCAATGTGAAGTATTTTCTAGTTTTGCTGGTCATTTCTTCTTTGACTCATGGATATTTAGACTTATGTTGCTTAATTTCTGAATATTTGATGCTTTTCTAGATATCTCAGTGTTACTAATTTGAAATTTAATTCTGTTGTGATCAGAGAATATACTCTAAGATTTCATTATTTTGAAATTCACTGAGACTTATTTTCTGTGTGTATCTCATCAGTTTCCCATTGTATTCCTTGTGTATTTGAAAAGAATGTATATTCTGCCCTTGTTGGGTATAGTGTGCTATAAATATAAATTAGGCCTAGATGGTTGATAGTGTTGCTCATATACCTTATAGCCTTATTAATGTTTTATATCTTTGTTCTATCAGTTACTGAGAAAGAGGAATTAAAATCTATAACCATGGGCCAGGCGCGGTGGCT